CTGTCCCTGCTGCCGCCCTCACTGCCTCCCACCACTGCCTGCGGGAAGCCCCGCTGAGCCAGGGTCCTGGGCCCGCTGCCCCCTAGCCCCCTGCCCGGCCTCTCCTGGCCTTTTGTATTATTTTATAAAGTCACTTTTTTATTACTTTAATTTTTTTAAAGAGAAAAATAAGAAATATATGATTGATGATATTGCTTTGTAACATATTTTTTTTAAACAATGAAAAACACAGAAAGACAACTGAAGAGCCTAACGTTGTGGGCGTGTTTGTTTGCGGGGGTCACCGCCCACGGCACACCCCCAGCCCCCCCGCCTGGGCGGCAGGACCCTACAGGGCAGCCCCTGGACGCACAGGTCCTGCTCAGGCCCTCACCCTGCCTCATGGCCCTTTCCAGACCCTTCTTCCAGCCACGCACGCAGCAAGCACGGGTCAGGACCACGACACAGAGGTCACAACAGACTGGCGACGTTCACACGCTGAGCCGCTCCGAGCACCACGTGCCCCCGCGCCGTCATGCCCCGTTTCCCCAGAAACGTCGCTGCAGCGTTTTGTCACCCCAGAGAGACACTAGTCAGCCAGGGAACATTTTTCTTTAAAAGTCTGCGTGGTACCTGTTCTCACGAGGTCCCCCAGGCACATGCGAAGAGGCAGATTCGGAATGAAAACCCCTTCCGGCCCAGCCCCTGTGAGCTGCCGATGGCCCCCGGGCCATCATCCCATCCCAGCACAGGCATGCGGCCTTTGCTCTACGGCGCGCTGCTCCCTGCCTCCTCGGTGCTCCTTGTGCTCCCCACCAGGGCTGGGCTCTGTGGCCTCACCATGTCCGCCTGCAGGACAAAGTTCCGGAGGTGGGGCTGCTCCCTGGCGGGGCTTCCTGAGCTCTCCCGCCTTGGGCACCCCCGTGGATGGTCCCAAGCGGCCCTCAAGCAGGTTTTCTTACAGCCCCAGATGGACGGATAAAGGAGCTGAGACCTGGAGAGACCACGGGGCAGAGGGAGGACCCTTGCCAGGGTCAGCCAGGGCTCCGCACCCGGCCTCCCATTACAGACGACAGGAGCTGGCAGACCCGTCCACAGAATGGGGGAGAGATCTCAGAGAACCCACACCCTCACTCCCAGCATGGCCCCCTGACCAGCTCTGCCCACACATCAGGGCCACAGTGGGCCCAAGAGGGAGCCGACCAGAGCCCGAGGGTTTCTGGGGCCTCCTCCTGCCCCACCTTCAGCCCCCTTGTCACCCATATTGGCTTCCCCAGGTGGCCCTGAGTGGCCCACCCGTGGTCTCCTCCATGGGCCACTGTCCCATGGTTCCCTGTGGAAACCCATGCAGTCCTGACGGTCAAGGGCAATAGCGAGGTCAGGGATGGGGGGCCAAATGTTGGGGACTAAAGAAGGTATATCCAGGAGTGACTGACCGCCGGCTGGGGGGGCCCTTCTTCAGCACCCCCAGAGAGCCACGGATAGAATGTTCCCTGGGGGAAAGGGGGTGGGGAGGGCCCCAAAGGGGAGAATCACAGAAAGGGGCCTGCCACAGTCGAGCTGGGTGGAGGACTTGGGCACGGCCCAAGACCGGCTCTGTGCAGAGAAGGGTGGCAGCAGCGACCCTCGTCAGGTCAGGCAGATGTCTCACTCCGTCTGGGGCCGGCCCAGAGGTTAGCAGGCAGCCTCGTGCTCCCCAGGGCACCAGAGCACCGAGCTTCATACCCGTGGCGTAGGCCTGATGGAACCTCTCCCACCAAGAGAATACACCCTTTCTGCACACATTCCCGACCGAGAAAGAAAGAGGAGAGTGGTCAGTCCTGGCTGCCCTTCACAGCAAAGCGCAGGACGTTGACGTTTGTCTTCACGCCCTGCCCCTCCCCAGCACTCCCCGTTTACCTGACTTCCAAGCATCTCCGTGCAGGCAGTCAGAGACCCCAGCCCTGCCTGGGCAGTGTCTGCTCCTCAGGAAGCGAGGCCCCCCCTCCCTCGCCGCACCTGCCGTGGGGTGCCTGGGAGGCTGTCTTCCACCTGCGTATCTGGGCTGGCCGTCCCCAGGCACGCAGGGACGTCCCCACCGTTGGCAGTGTTGAGCCCAGTCTTCCTGGGATGCCCGAGGTTTCAGGCGCTACAAGGTGGACCTCTTGGGTGAGGGCGTGGCGGGGGGTGCCCAGCAACCATTTGTGTGGTGGAGAAACGTGGCTCGGCTCACTGTTAGGATCTGCTGAGTTGTGAACTTTGGCTAAAGCGCATGGCATTTGTCTGCTCGAGAGAAATGAAACTGTCTGCTCCGACGGAGAGGGCTCCTTCCAGCTCCCTGTGGTCGCGAGGCCGTGGGCGCTGAAACCGTCCTCCCTGCGCCCCCGAGGCCGAAGGCCCGTGTCCCCTCGCTCCCTTGGCCAGGGTCAGGAGCACACACGGCAGATGCCAGAAGGGGTGAAGCGGAGAATCCTGCCCGAGGGCACACGGGGCACTGCCCAAGGACAGAGCCTTCCTCCTGAATGAGCGAGCAGGCCAGGCTCCCCAGCGAGCGGGAGGAGGACCCTCCATCCATCCTGCCCCCTCCTCAGCATCCAGATATGCTCTTGGAGCATTAAAGACATGAGAACAAACAAGAATCCCTTATTTTACGGTTATATTAGCTGTTCTGGAAAAATCACAAGCAGGCGCATCAGGTCAGATGACCCCTACCGTTCCACAGCTAGAGGGGCTGTGTGTGTTCGCTGAGAACACTGTCCACGAGAGGCCCCGCGGCTGCTGAGACCCTGGGAAGACAGCAGGAAATGGAGACGCGGAATCATGAACTGGGGACAACTTTCCACGCAGACGGCCGCCTCCTGTGCTCTGGACGCTCCCTGTCACGGTTCTCCCCACAGACTCCCTGGTTTTCCTGCCAAGAGCATCTCACAGAGTCTAACCAGAGGGAAACAGACAGACAGTACAGGGGAGCAGGGGGAGGGGGAGTAGAGACTATTCTGGAATGAAGGAAACTGAGAGACATGACAGATCGCGTCAAGGCATGATCCCAATCAGAGTCTGGGGCAAATGCTTCACAAGGTGCAGAGTGCAGGGCGCGCGGGGCTCAGTGCGTTGAGCGCCTGACACCCAATCTCAGCTCGGGTCTTGATCTCACGGTCCTGAGTTCAGGGCCTGCAAGTCATAACAAAATTAATTAATTAATTAATTAAAAGGTATAAAATGTATTTCAGGAATAGATGGAAAAAATTGAGTAAGAACCATGTATCAGGTGATCATTCTTTTTTTTTAAATTTATTTATTTGACAGAGAGACAGAGATCACAAGTAGGCAGTGAGGCAGGCAGAGAGGAGGAAGCAGGCTCCCTGATGAGCAGAGAGCCCGATGCGGGGCTCGATCCCAGGACCCTGGGACCATGACCCGAGCCGAAGGCAGAGAGGCTTAACCCACTGAGCCACACAGGTGCCCTCATTCTTTTTTTTTTTTTTTAAAGATTTTATTTATTTATTATTTGAGAGCACCTGTGTGCACACGCACGTGTGAGAGAGAGAGAAAAGTGAGCACAAGCAGGGGGAGTGGGAGAGGGAGAAGCAGGCTCTCCACTGAGCAGGGAGCCTGATGCGGGACTCAATCCCTGGACGCCGGGATCCTGACCTGAGCCAAAGGCAGATTTTACGGAGTGAGCCACCCAGGTGCCCCATCAGATGATCATTCTTAAATTTCCCAACTGTGGGGGTGCCTGGTGGCTCAGTCAGCCTGCCTTCAGCTGAGGTCATGATCTCGAAGTCCTGGGATAGAGCCCCCCCAACTTTGGATCCCTGCTCCTCAGGGAGCCTGCTTCTCCCTCTCCCTCTGCTGCTCCCCCTGCTTGTGCCTGCGCTCTCGCTCTCTCTGTCAAATAGATAAATAAATAAATAAATAAATAAAATGTATTTTAAAAAAATTTCCCAACTGTGGGAGAATGGCTTTATTCTTAGGAGGTGTCCATAGAAGTATCTTGTGGCAAATCATCATATTTGCAGAATTAACTCATATATTTTTTAAAGATTTTATAATTTATTTGTCAGAGCCCACACGCAGGGGGAGCGGCAGGCAGAGGGAGAAGCAGCTCAGCCCACTGAGCAGGGGGTCCCAAGACCCCGGGATCATGACCTGAACTGAAGGCAGATGCTTAACCACTGAGCCTCCCAGGCATCCCCAGAATTAATTAGTATTATTAATAATTAATGGTGTGGGGGAGAGAGAACACAAATAGGGCAAATTATTAATAGTTCTTGAATCCAGGGGCACAGGGGTGGCTCAATCGGTGAAGCATCTGCCTTTGGCTCAGGTTGTGATCTTATACTGTTAATATTTCAGCCTGAAGAAGGGAGCCCTGGGGTTTTTTCTAGGAGTTATTTAAACTCGAGGAAAGACAAGTGACCCCTAAATGATAACTAAAATTCTGTGTCCTGGGGTCAGCCCCAACACCTCCACCTCCAGGAGATCAGGCTGAGCGAGAGCCCCGAGCCCCCGGGGACTCGGATGGCAGGGTCCTAAAACCGTCCCAGTCCCCACTGCTCCCCTGGCCTCCCTGAGAGCCTCCTCCCTCCTCACCAGGGCTGGTCCTGGAGGCCTCGGATCCCACCTTCCCTCTCTCTCTTCTCCCTCCCCCTCCCCCGCAGGCCCTGCCTCCAACTGACCTACAGAGGCAGGTGCATCTGAGGCGAGGCAGGGCAGTGCCAGCAGCCAAGGGGTTAATGGTCCTGGCAAGGGCTTGGTAGCGGGATGCAGGGGTCAGATGACCCTCGGGATGGGGACAGACACACCAGGCTGCTATTCCAGGGCTCCAACCGTGACCACCTATTTATAGAGCCGGGGTGCTCGGCCCGCCCCGTGCAGGCAGTGGCAGTGGGGAGGCAGCCCCGCTGCAAAGTCAGGGGAGTCAGCATCATCGTCGCTGCTGCAGGCTGCCCGCACCTGTCCCGGCCACCACCGCAGAGAGAGGGGCCACAGAGCCGCCAGGGCCCCAGGGAACCACACCAGGCAAGGACGAGGCCGGCCAGATGGGCAGCGCCCTGGAGCCCCCGGGGGCGGGACCTGCACCTGGGCGCCGCCGCGTCCCCTGTGGGCGTGGCCCGCGTCCTGCGGCTAGCCCTGGGCTGCGCGACCTTCAGCCTGGCGGCCCACCGGGGAGGCTTCGCGGGCGTCCAGGGCACCTTCCGCATGGCTGCCTGGGGCTTCTGCTTCGCCCTCTCCGGCCTCGTGGTGGCCTGCGAGTCCACCCGGCTGGACGGCTGCCCGCACCTGTCCTGGGGCGACTTTCCAGCGGCCTTCGCCATGCTAGCCACGCTGCTGTCCGCCACAGCTGCCGTCCTCTACCCCTGTACTTCGCCCAGCTGCAGTGCCCCCCCGAGCCTGAGGGCTGCACGACCAGGGACTTCCACCTGGCAGCCAGCGTCTTTGCGGGGCTCCTCTTCCTGGCCTATGCCGCAGAGGTAGCCCTGACCCGGGCCCGGCCGGGCCAGGTGGCCAGCTACATGGCCACGGTCTCGGGGCTCCTGAAGATCGTCCAGGCCTTCGTGGCCTGCATCATCTTTGGGGCCCTGGTCTACGACAGCCGCTATGGGCGCTACGTGGCCACCCAGTGGTGTGTGGCCGTCTACAGCCTGTGCTTCCTGGCCACGGTGGCTGTGGTGGCCCTGAGCGTGACGGGCCACACAGGGGGCCTGGGATGCCCCTTCGACCGTCTGGTGGTGGTGTACACCTTTCTAGCCGTGCTCCTCTACCTCAGCGCGGCTGTGATCTGGCCTGTCTTCTGTTTCGACCCCAAGTACGGGGAGCCCCGGCGGCCCCCTGACTGCCCCCGAGGCAGCTGCTCCTGGGACAGCCAGCTGGTGATGGCCACCTTCACCTACGTCAACCTGCTCCTGTATATCGTCGACCTCGCCTACTCCCAGAGGATCCGCTTCGTGCCCAGCCTGTAGCTGCCCGCCCACCCGTGGTCTCCAGGGGCTCCAGGCACCATGAGGGGGACCCAGGTGAACCAAGACCCCCAGGAAGCAAGCCAGAGGGAGGCAACCGGCAGAACCGCTCCCGGATTTCTGGCCAGGCTTGGGGAGGGGGGACGGGAGGCAGAGGGACAGAAGGCCCTGAGCGGGCCACAGGCAAGGGTCCTCCCCCAGGCAGCTCCCAGCCCTTCTCCCTGTCTCTTTGTCTCTCTCTCTATCTCTCTTATCTCTGTCTGTATCTCTCTCTCTGTCTCCCTCCATTTCCTGGCCCTCCCTGATGCAGTGCCACCCACCGTAACAAGAGAAGCCTTTGAACCAGGTGCTGTTGTGACCCACTTTATAGATGGGGACACAAAGGCTAGGGTTTTGGAGACAGCCCCATGTGCCCATCAGCGTCTGGAGACCCTGTCCAGGCCGTGACCTAAGTAGAGTTGAAAAGGGGACAGTTCCCAGGGGTGTGGGATGGACAGCTGTCTCAGCAGGGCGCTGCTGGGGGGCTCTGTGCCACCTCAAAGAGAAGGAACCAGGCATGGGGATCCCACCGTGCCCATCTCTGAGTGGCCGTAAGAAGAACAGGAATCATGGCCTGGTCATACGGGGCAGCTTCAGCAGGCCAGAGACAGTGCCGGGGACCTGCAGGGACCCTCAGAGGGCTGGCGGCACCCTTGAATGCAGAATGTGGGGAAGAAGCTGGGTTTCCACACTGGGAGGGAGTGCCCACCAGGCCCCCACCATCAGCCCCAGGGCAGCAGCTTCTGCAGTGCCCACTGTGGGCCCCCAGCAGGCAAGTCTGGGGTAGCCCTGATCCAGGGGGAGGGCCAAGCCTAGGGCAGCCACTGGGTCATGGAGCCCGGGCCCCGGACACCTCCATAGTACTCACAGGCCCGTGACCTCCGCTCGAGTATCCGTTCGCCTGGCCGCTGATCACCAGAGCCCACAGGGGCTGTCACCCTCCTCAGTCCAGCCCGCTTCTCCTGCTCGAGAGCCCAGCCAGGGCCACCCCAGATCAAGCCGCTGGCTGCCCCTGAGTACAGCAGCCCCCTGGCCCATCCCTGGGAGCAGGAAATAAATGCTAATGTTTGCATCCTGTCTCTGGTGAGCATCTTTCTGCCCAGGGGGCAATGGCCAACTGCACCTCCTGGGCCATTCCCCCCAGTGTGAGTAGGGAGAAGGGACAAGATGGGACCTGACTGAGGGAGGGGGGGCTCTTGGACTGAGGGTTGGCCTCCCGAGGGAGTAACAGGCATTGTCCTCTCCCTTGGTGGGCAATGAGGCTGGGGGAGATGAGGATGATGCCGAGCTTGTCTCCCTCCCTTGCCGTGGTGCTCAGTATCACCAGCACCCCACACTCCACAGGGGGTTGCAGGGTGGGGCGTGGGCCCAAGCAGCTCTTAGGCTTGGGTTCCAGGGGCTCCCTTGTGCAGACGCGATGCAGAGTGTGAGAGGGATGGCTCACTTGCCTGATAGGGACCACGCACTCACAAGGGTTCTTGTCTGGAGGGGGCAGGCATCATTGGCTCAACAGCCAGTCCCCAACGGGACCAGTGTATCCTGAGGTGTCCTGGCAGCCCTCACTGACTGAAGGAGAGCTGGGACCAGGGGGCACATCTCCAGGCGACAAAGAAGCATATGGGCCACATCCTTCCTAGCTCACAGGGAGGCCTGCACCTCCACCAGTCTTCCTCCTTTTCTAGCCAAACTTCTGAAATGGTTATCTGTCACCAGCTCCCCGGTCTCCTCGTTGACCAGTGGCCTTGTGCTCCCAGTGCTCCAACCACCCTAAATTTCAAAGGTCCGTGGGGGAGACAAAATGGGGGGCATCCAAGACTCAAGGTCAACATGGCAGAAGCCCTCCAGGAGGCTTGCCTTGGGATGTTCCTGCAGACAGCCACTCCCCAGGTCAGAGGACTTTTTCTTTTTGGAGGAGGGAGTTATTCTTATCAGTGAAAAACAGTACTTTTTGAAGGCAGGGGTTCTGTCCTTTGATTATGTCCAGTCAGGGAATACTCAGAGGGACTGCTGGGCTTTATGCCTATGGCTTGGAGTCTAGGCCGGTCCCCAGACAGTCCACTTTGGACAAGTGGCATGGGGTCAGGGGCAGATGCTGGTGGGCAAGAGTCTCGGGGGGCACTTGGGTCATGAGGTTTGGTGGGCATGGATCCTGGGAGTACCAACTGGAGAAGAGCCTCTTGCTGCGGCCCCTCCCTCAGAGGGAGAGCACTAAACATTCAGCTGCCCCCATGTGGGGAAGGCCAGGAAATCTACCTTCCGTTCATGGTCACTACCCATGGGTCTGATGGTGCTGGTGGCCACCACTGTGTCCACAAGAGCTCACAGCCCTGCTTCTGGAGCACAGACATCAGGGTAATGCCAGTCAGGTCCGAGAACAGCTTGTCACCGTTGAGGATACAGAACTGAAAAAATAGAGCAGGTCACCTGTTCCCCTGGGACAGGGCGGGGTTGCCAATGACTATTACTTCTTACTTTGCCCTTAACACTTCTGCTGACTGGGACCCTGGACTATCCCAAAACCCAAAGGCAGACTCAACTTGTTCTCCAAATGCAAACCCCCAGATTCCACATGGACACTGCTGACAGATGTCGGGAGACGTGGGAGTGCTCCACCGGAGCTGGGGGACACTATAGGGTCTCATCTTCTCTTTACTGGCTGGTCACTACTGGCCCCAAGCCCGTTTGGGGAGGCTTAGGCCATACAGGCCTATGGCCTCCGTCATGCCGCAGCCCGGGGAAAAGACCTGCAGAGAAAACCCCAGTTGGGAAAAAGAGGGTCTGGATCTCACGCGGGATCGACCTAGACCTCCCAGGTGCAACCCCCACCCCAACCCCGCCCACCGATTTTGAGATTCTATAAAGGCTTAGGCTATCCTCTCCAGTTTTCAAGCTTCGTGGTACAATAAGTAAATTTTAAAGCTACAAAACACAGTATCAAGATAGTGCTACATTTTAAATGTTTCCATTTCGCAAATTGCTTCCAAGCCTCCCGCACGCTCGCACGCACGCGCACAAAGGAGCGGAGAAGCGAGGACACAGTGTGCGCTTCTCCAGTTCGCTCAAGGAACGGCGCGCCCGGGCCCCGCGGCTGAGGACCCCAGCCCGGCGTGTGCGGATCCGCCCGGCCCACTCCCAGGCCCCGCGCGGGGAGCCGCAGCCCCGGCGCGCTCAGGCCCCACGTGCCGTCTCGGGGTGCGGACCCGGGGCCGGAGCCGCCGACGCGGGGAGGCCGGGAGGCTGTGGGGCCGGAGGCGGTGGGGCGGGAGGCGTGGGGCGAGCGGATGATGCAACCGCCCCCCGGTTCCTCCCGCGCCCCTCGATTGGCCAGCGCCTGGCGGCCGCGCCTCCGATTCGCTGGAGCGGCGGGGGCGGGGCCGAATGGCTCGGGTGCCGCGTGGCGGGCGCGGCTCCGCGGCTCCCAGGCGTTCCGCGCGGTCGGTGGGTGAGTGGGCGCCCAGCAGGGGTCGGGCGCGGGCGCGCGCGGGGCAGGGGGAGGCGCGCCTGCGCGCCCCAGCTAGGGCCTGGGGTGGGCGTGGGGCCCGGACGTGGAGGGCGTCGGGGCTCCGAGCCGTCGCCCCCCGCGGCTCTCCGGCTCTGGAGGCCGGCCCGCCGCTCGCCGTGTCCTCTGTCCGGGGCCGTCGGGAGTGTCCCGGCGGGGGGACGGGAGCCGCCGCCGTCGCAGCCGGCGCGCGGCCTCGTGCAAACTTGGGCCGGCTGCGTTGGCGGTGGGAGCTGGGGGCGGGGGGGATGGGCGCGGGCCAGCGGCCGAGGGGCCGGGCGTGGCACCGCCCGCCCAACTTCTTGCTCTGGGTCCTGCCCCATCTCGTCCCGTAGTTGCCCCTGCAGGGCCGGTGCCCGCCAGGAGGGCTGTGGGCGGCGCCTCCGACAACATGAGCGTGGGCTTCATCGGAGCTGGCCAGCTGGCTTTTGCCTTGGCCAGGGGCTTCACAGCAGCAGGTAGGCCCTGCAGCCGGGACGCCGTGGGCTGGGGAGCGGTGGGCCATTACCCTTCCACCGGCTTGGGGGTGAAAGGACGGGTCTGGAAAACTTGCTTTGAGTTCTGGGGGAGATGGCAGCCTTGGGGTGGTTGGGGGTGGGGCAGGAGTTGCTGTCTTACTCTGGGAGTGGGATTTCCACTTTCCTTCCTGTGAACGTGAAGAGGGGAGGACAGGATAGACCTTGAGGAAGGATCTCTGTTACCCGCAGGCATCCTGGCTGCCCACAAGATCATGGCCAGCTCACCAGACATGGACCTGGCCACGGTTTCTGCCCTCAGGGTAGGTGCAGGGTGGACAGGGAGGGGGAGGTGGTCCCTGAAGGGGCTAAGTCACTGTGTCTGGGGAGAGCACGTGATAGCCTTGACCCTGAGGGCCCCAGGTGTAAAGGTCCTAGTGAGAGACACTATGGGACCACCACCCCCCTTCCCAGGAGAGGAGGGCCCTGGGCCGTAGCACCCCACAGACCTGCCTGCTGGCCTGCTGGTAGCTGCCCTTGCTCAGCTCCTGGGACCTGGGGACAGGCACATGTGCAGCTGTTGGGGAGGGTGTGCTGGATTGGAATGGGGTTCCCCAAACGGAGCCTCCACAGGGACAGTGGGAGCCCAGCAGATGGGACCACAGAGTTGGGGCCAGGTCGGACCCATCTGGGGACTGAATACAGGTTTGGTTTGCCACAGCTGAGTTAGGGCTCCAGACCTCAAGCTGGGAGCCTGCGCACCCATAATGCCACTCACCCCTGGAGGCCTGCCGCCCATGATGGGGTGCATCAGGGCTGTGGCATGGGTACTCATCCGTTTTCTGTTTCCAAAAGGGTCATATACCAGTGCAGAGAGCTTGGGCTTCAGGGTGGGAAGGGTGACTGGGGGCTGTCAGAGCTCCGTGCCCTGAGCCCCTACCCAGACTGTCCCTGTTCTCAGCAACCTCTGTCCTCTTCTATGCCCGGGGCTCTCAGCTTGGGGAGGATAC